TCTGATATGCAGGATGGTCTTAGGCGACCCCTGTGAAAGGGTCGTTCGCCCGCCAAAGGGGTCGTGACCCACAGGTTGAGAACCGCTGAGTGGGATAAAGATAGCCTGTTCAATAAACGGTGTTGGGGAAATTGGATAGATACATGCAAAAAAAATGAAACTAGACCACCTTCTTACACCATACACAAGAATAAAAATATGGTTTAAAGACTTAAATGTAAGACTTGAAACAATACAAATCCTAGAAGAAAACAGGCAGTAAAATCTCAGACATTTCTCATAGCAATAATTTTTCTGAAATATCTCCTCAGGCAAGGGAAACAACAAAGAAAAATAAGCAAATGGGACTAGAGCAAACTAAAACGTTTCTTCACAGCAAAGGAAACCAACAAAATGAAAAGACAACCAGTGATACAGCTGATAAGGGATTAATATCCAAAATTTATAAAGAACTTACAAAACTCAACACCAAAAAACCAAACAATCCTATTAAAAAACGGGGAAAGGACCTGAATAGTCACTTCTCCAAAGAGGACATACACATGGCCAATAGACATGTGAAAATATGCTCAATATCACTAGTCATCAATGCAAATTAAAGCCACAATGAGATATTACCTGTCAGAATGGCTATTATCAATAAATCAACAAGTATTGGTGTGGATGTGGAGAAAAGAGAATCCCGCTGTTGGTGGGAATGCAGATTGGTGCAGCTATTGTGGAGAGCAGTATGGAGTTACCTCAAAAATTAAAAATGGAACTACCTTATAAACCAGCGATTCCACTTGTGGGGATATATCCAAAGAAACCCAAAACACAAATTTGAAAGAATATATGCACCCCTATGTTCATTGCAGCATTATTTACTATAGCTAAGATCTGGAAACAGCCCAAGTGCCCATCAGTAGATGACTGGATAAAAAAGCAGTGGTACATTTATACAATAGAATACGACTCGGCCATAAAAAAGAAGGAAATCTTACTCTTTGGGATAGCAGGGATGGACCTTGAATTAAATACTAAGTGAAATAAGCCAGTCAGAGAAAGACAAGTACCATATGACTTCACTCATTTGTGGAATCTAAGGAACAAGATAAACTAATAAACAGAATAGAAACAGACTCATAGAGAGCAGACTGACAGTTGTCAGAGGGCAGGGGAGTTGCAGGGCTTGGTGAAAAATGTGACAGGATTAAGCAGTTAAAAAACATACTCATAGACACAGACAACAGTATGGTTGGTGATTACCAGAGGGAAAGGTATGGGATCGGGCAGAAGAGGGAATAGGTGGAATAAATGGAAGGAGACTTGATGTGGTGTGGTGAACATACAATATAATAAACAGATGATGTAGTATAGAAATTGTACACTTGAAACCAATATAATTTTATTAACCAGTGTCATCCCAATAAATTCAATAAAAAAGGGGGAAAATAGAAAAGATTATCCTTTTCTTACCAC